TTTGCATATACAATTGCGGTTCAAGTCCAAGTTGCTAACGATTTTTGGGTTCAGGAGCTCTTAAGGTTGTGGTTGGGGAACTAGAGGGCTGAGTTTAATACCTTTGTCTCGTACGTGCACAGAGAATATCCCTGCAAAGTTTCAGCCTTCCATGTCGCCTGGTTCGCGAAACAGTTTTCCGCCCCGTGCATAGAGAATATCCCTGCAAAGTTTCAGCCTTCTACGTTGTCTAGTTCGCGAAATCGTTTCCGCCAAGTTCGAGAACATCCCTGCAAAGTTTCAGCCTTCTACGTTGCTTGGTTCGCGAAACAGTTTTTCACCTACAAATTCCTTCAGCAAAGTTTCAGCCTTTTACGTTGCCTGGTTCGCGAAACAGTTTTTCACCTACAAATTCCTTTGGGTAAAGTTTCAGCCTTCTACGTTGCCTAGTTCGCGAAATGGTTTTTCGCCAACAAATTCCTTTGGGGGTCCATAGAGAACATCCCTGCAAAGTTTCAGCCTTCTATGTTGCCTGGTTCGCGAAACAGTTTTTCACCTACAAATTCCTTTGGGGGTCTCGTACAAAGTTTCAGCCCTCTACGTTGCCTGGTTCGCGAAACAGTTTTTCGCCTACAAATTCCTTTGGGGGTCTCGTGCACAAAGTTTCAGCCTTCTACGTTGCCTGGTTCGCGGAATCGTTTCGCGCCAACAAATTTCTTTGGGGGTCTCATTAGCGGGATCTACGTTGCCTGGTTCGCGAAACAGTTTTTCACCTACTAATTCCTTTGGGGGTCTCGTGCGCGGGGTTATACGTTGCCTGGTTCGCGAAACGATTTCCCGCCAACAAATTCCTTTGGGGGTCTCGTGCGCGGGGTTTAGGCGCGTATGGGGGAAGATCTTAAAACGGGAGGATGACACACGGGGTAGGAACATATATCCGAAGTTTCAGGCTATGGGGGAAGATCTTAAAACGGGAGGATGACACACGGGGTAGGAACATATATCCGAAGTTTCAGGTTCGCGAAACGGTTTTTCGCCAACAAATTCCTTTGGGGGTCTCGTGCGCGGGGTTTAGGCACGTACGGTTCGCGAAACAGTTTTTCAATACAAATTCCTTTGGGGGTCTCGTGCGCGGGGTTTAGGCGCGTATGGGGAAGATCTTAAAACGGGAGGATGACACACGGGGTAGGAACATATATCCGAAGTTTCAGCCCCCCGAAGATCTTAAAACGGGAGGATGACACACGGGGTAGGAACATATATCCGAAGTTTCAACCCCCCAGGTTTCCTTGTTGCCGAGTTGAAAGTGGTTGACAAAATGCACTCGCTTTGCGCGCACACACGCACACACACACACACACACACACACACACACACACAGACTGCCTCTCGACAATATGCGTTTTCGCTGGCTGAGCAAAAATGCATAAAAATTACTACCTGTGAAACAACTGTTGTTCGACCGGAGCTGTCCATATCGCACTTGTCATTTTCGATAATAGTGGTT